ATTGGAATCTTTTCCACCTCAATTGTGGAATGTCGGCTCCCCTTGTGCCACTTGGTGCTGCATGGGCGCGAAAAAAGGAAAGCCGTCCGTGCATTCAAAGAACAAAAATAATCACCGATGAGTCCGTGCAGTCCGCATTTGAAAGGTGCTGGACCCTTCCTCGAAAAGGACTCCAGAAAAAAAAGTGCAACAAATTCGTAACTTATACTTCATCCAATCTTCAAATTCTCATCTAAAACATGAAGTTCCAAAACCTTGCTTCCGTCCTTGCCCTTTCTGGCCTTTCAATGGGTGCCACGTCAACAGACACAGCCTCTGCTGCTGTCACTACGTACTCCCTTGTTATCTCCAGATACGGTGCATTCTTCACTAAGGTGATGACTTCCACCGTTGGCCAGTCCATCGACTACGTGGATCAGTATTTGAGTGACAGCAACATCCTTGCTTATACTATTGGCGATTCATCTGGTTCGGCTGCTTTCTACAGCAGAGCTTCAGTCCTGTCGTCCGAGTCGTCTGCTTCGGCAGCCAAGGCGGAGGCCACAGCTACCACCACCACAGAATCAAGCTCTTCTGAGGAAGAGACTTCAACCTCGGCCTCTGAAACCAGCACAGAGTCGTCCTCATCGTCGACCAGCAGCTCTAACGGAGCAGCCGGTTTGCAACTGGGAACAATCTCGGCTGCTATGGGTCTATCTGTTTGTCTTATGTTGCTATAATAGATTCAAGTAGCCTGATCTTATTTTGGCTGGATGCCTTAAAATAGCAATTCCGTAAACGTTGGTCGATCCGACGCTGATCAACGTCATTGCAGAACATTGCATTCCCGAGCATGCCGTCGAGGGCTTGCCAAAAGCTTTGGAGTTCGTGCAATAACAGTCCACCACGCACCTGTGTAACGCGGAATTATAATGCCCGTCTTCTGCTACCTTTTTTATTTCCACTTACAATCAGGTCTTCTTCTAATTAACATGAAAAGAGTGGACCTTAGAGAGCAGGTGTCTGGCTTTCCAGCCCTCCAAGTTGGCTTCTTGCTGCTAATGCAAGTAGCTCAGTATACAGCAGAGCTTTCAACAGAATGCTACATTTGGCATATTATCAAGAGTTTCCACACGGCCAAAGCCCACGATGAAGTGCTCAAATATATAGGCTACCTCGCTTTTGCCGACGGTGCCCCACAAGTCCTTACGTACATCTTCTGGGCCTTCCAGGCCGAACGTTACGGGCGCAAGCCAATCCTGCTGATTGGCCTGATTTCCCTGGCCTTCGCTATGCTGCTCTACGGCTTTGGAAGAAAGTTCTATCTAATCTGGATAGCAAAATTTGCAGCTAGTCTGCTAAATGCTAATCACACTCTGGTGAGAACTGCTCTAGGAGAGTTGACTCCATCACTCAGCCACCAACCCTTGGCATTTTTAACCATCCCGGTCTCCTATTTCGTGGGATCATGGCTTGGACCTCTCATCGGCAATAATCTCATTACTCCATGGAATGGACCGCCTCCTGCTGATGCTCCACCTGACAGACGGTTCATCAAGGTCTTTCCGTTTGCACTCCCTAACATTGTGCTGGCCATCATTCTGCTTTTCACGGCACTTTTAACGTTCCTCTTCTTTGAGGAAACTCATCCATATCTTGACCACCAGGCAGATAGAGGTCTTGCCCTTGGCAACGCCATTAGAGAGAAGTTCGGTCTCTCTTCGTCCAATGGGACTTACAGCCGCAAGTTTGATAGGGCAAATGATGGTCTCGTGAATGGGGAGGACGACATCGAGCTTCAAGACCCTATGGGCTCCGCAGAAGACAGTTCTGCTCCGATTTTTGCCTCATACAGCAGACAAAAGCTGATTCAGATGATCATCTCTCATACTATGTTTGGTTATCTATCTGCAGTGTTTGCAAAGCTTTCTGACTCTTACTTCACGGAATCGCTGAAAAAAGAGTCCATTGGGTTTCCCTTCATGTTTAAAGGGGGATGTGGAATTAGCTGGGTCGATTTACCTAGTATTGTGACTAGGTGTCTGGTGGTTGCCATCATAGTGACCATTATAGCCGTTCCTCTTGCAGCAAAATACGGTGCTATTCTTGGTGGCTACCGCCTCAGTCTCGCGGGCTTCATTTTCACCTTCTTTTTCCTGCCATTCTTTGTCTTTGTTGCTCCAGACGTGACAGGAATCTCTCAATCTGCATACTACGGCTTCCTTTATGTTTTGCTCATGGCACAGAACACAATCTTTTTAGTTGGACTCGCACTTGCGGCTACATTGCTGAACATTCATGTTTCTTCCGAGGACCGTAACATTCAGACGGCCATTGCAATGGCAGCATATGCCGGAATGAGTTATTTCGGAACGATTTTGACCTCCTGGGTGAGGACTCTGTTCAATAATCTGGGATTACAAACAATCTTCTGGTGGCTCCTTGCCTTGATTTCGTTGTTTACACTCCTACATTCACGCATGATTGCCAACTAGACAGTTAATTGACTTATATAGGTAATCAGAACACAAGGCTCATCAGAAGCAGAGCAGCTCCTCCAAAAGAGACACCGGCCAATGTTGCCGCTCCTGCCGATGAGGACGAACTCGAGGAGGAGCTTGTGGACGAAGAGGAGGTTGAAGAACTGGTCGATGTAGCAGAGGAACTGGATGAGGTAGAATCGCCAAGAATATGACTCATGGTGGTGGACAATTCGTCAGTTGTTGCTGCCTCGTCTGGTTGGTAGGACATGTAGTAAGATCCATTAGCAAATCTAGGCACCAGTGTAGCAGTGTAATTGGTGCCAAGGTCGGAGAGTCCACCATCAATTCCTTGGAAGTACAAGTAGTACGTCGAGTTGTAGTCGACTTCTTTGAAGGAGTAAAGCATCGTTCCGCTGTAGTAGACAAAGTGAGTTTCGATCACAATTGGCTCAGTAGTACCGGTAGTGTTGACAGTCACCAAACCAGTGTCTTCGTTGATAGTCCAGTAGAGTGGATTGTCCAAGTAGCCCTGCGAGGTCTGAGTGATCTCGTAATAGCCTTCGTCGGTGATAAAGCCGGTGAAGTTGTAGCAGGTCGAGCAGTCAGGGAAAACGCCAACAATGTTGTCTTCGTTATATTGAAGGGGAACGGAGGATCCTGGCGGGAAATCAGATGAGTGAAGACCGCCGTACATAATAAACTCAGAAGAAGCTGCCAAAGCGGCTCCGAGCTGAGTGAGCAAAAGTCCTGACGTTTGGAGAAGTGTCTTAGCAAGCATTTTGAGAGAAAAGAAGCTACCTAGGACGGTGAAAATTTTCTTTGCTTATGGTGATCCTTGTGCAACCGGTAGTCGGTCCACAATGCTACCGAGAGCTGGGTTGTTTGCCAGCTGCAGCCAATAGGAAAGGACTTATCGCAAATATCGCCTGCCAAATTTAGATATCTGCGACTCTCAAATCAGGATTGTGCTTTTGAGCTCAGCTTTATTATTCAGGGTCTTGTGTCACTTAAATCGATTTCCGGAAAAAGCCAGAAAATTGGTATTGCCCCAAAAAAAACCAAACACCGACATTATTGTTTCTTGGCATGCAGGGTCCGGATCCGTTTGCCGGCTCCCAGCCTCGCTTCATTGGCTATGATTCAAAATCCCTCACAATCTGCAACCAGCTGCTGTGCTTATGTGTCCTGGCAATTAGTAAATCTTACGTTCTCTGTGGCTATTTTTACCTTTTTACTAGAGAAGTCTTTTCCGGATTTAGGAAGTGAAAAAATATCTTTTCCATCAGTCATCCCGCCCACATTTGAGGAGATTTTTGCAAAGCAAGATTCAAAAAAATTTCAGGTAACATCAAAGTTTGCTCACCAATCATGAGACTCACGACTGCCTTACCTCTTCTTGCAATATGCTTGAGAACTACCGAAGGCGCCATTCTTAAGAGAGAACCCGCAGTGGTGCCTCTGGCTAAAAGAGACGCAACAACTACTGCTCTCACGGATTCTGTGTGGACCACTACAACTGGCACCACCACTACGACGTTTACACCCTACGCCTTTGATGGAGTTACGGTGGATGCTTCTCCTGTCACCTCTTCGGCAACTCCCTGGGTGTCTCTTGACAGCTCTGGTATTCCGTATGCAGTCACCCCGACTGTGTCTGAGGACTCGACTACTTCTGCTTCGCCGACCCCTACGAACACTGCGTACCCTACTCCACTAGCTGCTCCACCGGTTTTACGGTGTATGAACGAGCGTGTTCCATCAAGCAACGATCCGTTGTGTATCTCAAACGCTACCAGCTTTGTCGCTGGCGAGACGTATTGGATTACCTGGAATCCTCTCTATTGGAATCCCGACAACGATGATGACGGAGTCTCCAAAGTCCAAATTCGTCTGCGATCATACTCCGAAGACACAAACTCTTCTGCCTTCTACACTACTGACTATGCTTCCAATTCAGATGGGTATATAGCACTCACTATAGACTCGGACTGGATAGACGAGGGAAATGATGGCTGGGTGCAAATTGTGTTGACTCCTTTCCTTGACAATGATGACTTATCAAGCAAGTACAGCAGTTACGAAGGACCTGCTGTGAAGCTTGTCTCATCGCAGGGAAGTATTGAAAGAGTACCATCAGACAATGGTTCCAGCAGCAGTAGCAGTTCTTCCACCACTTCGAGTTCCACTTCTACCGCTACCTCAACGTCAAAATCGTCCAGCCACAAAAGTAAGGCCTCTGTGATTGCCCCAGCAGTGGTGGTTCCTGTCGTTGTTGTTGGACTAGTTGGAGGAATCGCTGCGTACATTTTCATGGCCAGAAACAGAAGAAAGGTCAAGGAGCAGAATAAGAATGCCAACGAGAATCTACCAATGGAGTCGCTCCCTCGTGGAAAACACGATGATCACAACTATGATGGAAGATCGCTCAGAACAGAGGCTACTGGAACCAATCCGTTCGATTAGAATCAACTAATTTGTCTAATTAATATGGTAGAGCAAACTATAATTTACTGATTTAGTTAGAAAGTAATTATATTAGCCATACTATTGAAGTCAATCAGTATTTAGAAATTGGGATATCAAAAGAATTAAATAGCTTTGCAAAAGTGTATTTGAAAGCTATAGAGACCGCATGACAACTTACATAAGAAGAACGGCCATTCCAGAGAGCAAAGCACCCATGCCGACCATAGCAACATTCTGGGCAGCAGCACCCTCGTAAGTAGCAATATCGGCACTAGAGGAGGCAGCAGCAGAGCTCTGGGAAGAGACAGCTGCAGGACTGCTAGAGACCTGAGAAGAGACAGCTGCTGGGCTGCTAGAAGCCTGAGAAGACTGAGCTGCAGCAGTTTTCTCGTACAGAGCAGAGTAGAAGGAAGCAGAAGCACTGGAGTCACCAACGGTGTAAGCCAAAACATTGGTGTTTCCAGAGGCAGCAGCTCTTTCAGGGTTGATAATGCCAACGGTGTTGGTGACGACCTTGGTGAAGAGGTGGTTGTTCTTGTACAGAACAACAGTCTCAGTAGTCAGCTCAGCAGCACTGGAGGAAGTGGCAGTGGCCTCAGATGATTCAGGGGCAGAGGTAACTTCCGAAGAAGAGGCCTCAGTAGAGGAAGTGGCCTCTGCAGTGGAGGTAGCAGAAGAAGATTCAGTGGCGGTAGCACCGTTAACGTAGGCCCAGAAAGAGGAGGAAGCCTCAGCATCTCCGACGGTGTAAACGTGGATGTTGGTGTTGGTGACATATTGCTGGGCATATCCGATATCAGTGTTACCAACAGTGGAGGTTAGAACTTTGGTGAAAATTGCTCCATCTCTGTTGATAACAAGAGAGAAAGTGGTAAGCTCTTCAGCAGCAGCGAGGGAAGCAAGAGCAGCAACAGCAGAGGAAAGCGAAAGGAATCTCATTTTGAATTGTAACTTGAAATTGATGAAGATCAAGTGGATTTCTTGTTCAATTATATATGCCTGGCAACGTGATCTGCGAAAAGTCCGTGAACGAGAGCATTCTCGACCATGTCCTTGAATTCCCAAATCGGTTTTTGAGATTGCTGTTTGTAGAAGTATGGCTTTCGAAGGTGCATAGTCCCCACCTATTGGCTCTTTTGATGAATCAAGCTTAAAGGTAGTGCGGGCTGTTAAATCCCGCAACCTCGATAACTTACTGGCTTCTCTGCTTTCGTATGCAGGGTTTCGGGTAGAAACAAATTTTTTTAATGCAGATCTCTATTATCGGGAAATCGGGAAACTCTGGCATTTTCAAATCACGTCAAAATCGGGGAAGAGCAAGGTAAGGGTGGCGAGCGAGCGAGCGAATAGGAATTCTTGGCACACAATAACGGCGTTTTCGCAGTGAGAGAGCAGGCCGAGAAGCCGGGGGTCGAATGGCCGAGGTCGCGGGAGGCGGGGACTGTGGTCAGGTGATGGGGCAGGCTCGAAGTGGGACTGTAGTGGACAGAATACAGTGGAACTCGAGGTAGGGATGTGTGGATAGAAGAAAGGTGGAAGCGGTGGGTACTTCTAGTTGTGTGTGTAGGTGAGTTAAAGATAGTGGAGGCCATGAAGAGAGTAAAACTAAAAGTTAGTAAAAATTAAAAGGGAGGGGAAAGTGGATGTTAGGATCATCCGAGGCAGTTGGAATTAAAACAATACTCTCTTTGGTTTGAGCAACGCCCTCTTCCACATGGTCCATATCAATTAAGTGGGATGCACCGGGAACAACGGTATGATCGATTTCTGATTGCATCTTGAGTGGCCGCCAATGAACTTTTCACTTTAAAAATTGAATCCTATCTTCTGGTATGGAGCGACGGTGTTCGAAGAAAGCTAGGAACCTACCTTTTCAGGTGTTGATATCGTTCGCATCAATAAAAGACTGTGTTCACGTGTAATAAGCAAGGCTGTTGTCTATTTGGAGCGGCAATTAGACTAAATTCACTAGTCCGCTCAATAAGCACCGGTCGTGTGTTTTTTGATTTCCTCGGAGAGAGATTGATAAGCTTAAAAATTTCCTCATCGGGTGAAATGCTCGTTTAGAAGGACCTGGATTATAGGTCTATATAAGCAAGCATTGAAAGCCCGCTTGTCAACAATGTTTGGCCCTTATACAAACAACACGGAGAATAAAGCGCTATATGCATCATTCCTGCCAAAAGTCGAAGCTTACAGAGAAAAGATAAAGGCCCGAGTTCTGGATGAGTACAAGCTTCCCGAGAAAATTTTGTCGGAGAGTGACCTTTTATCGTCAACATTCCAGTGATATAAGCTTGTTGTAAAAATTGCTTCTGGAGAGCTGGCATCGGTTCAAGTTTTCAAGGCTTTTGCCAAAACAGCCACTGCAGCTCACCAGCTGTCAAATTGTGCAATATACCTATTTTCGGATGAAGATCTCACAAGAGCCGAAAAGCTGGATGAGTACTTTAAAAGGACAGGCAAGACTGTAGGCCCATTGCATGGTCTCCCTTTTTTGTTAAAAGAGCATGACAATCACAAAGGTAGGGTCACCTACGGGGCCTGTGTTTCCAAGATTGACAACATAACCGACAACTGGTACCTAGCAGTTCAAGCACTTATAGACGCAGGAGTTGTATTCTACGTCAGGACGAGGGAGCTTCAAGCAATCATGCATCTGTATTCTAACAACAACATCACTGGGTTATGTAGAAATCCCAGCAATACTGAGCTTACAACAGGAATATCAAGCCCAGGGGAAAGGACACTGGTAGCCATGACAAGTCCTGTTTTTGGGCTCGGCTCCGATATTGGTGGTTCCATCAGGTGCCCAACACAAGCTTGTGACATATTTTGAGCTTTCGCAATGTTGTTTTTCATTCCGGTCTGCAGTGCGACCCTAGTCTGGATGCTCCCAATACCTCTTACAAGCCTAGAAGCGAACTGCATGCTTATATAGATGGACGAAAAGTTGTCAAAGCATCTCAGGTCATTCACGAAAATGTTGCCGTCTCGAGTAGAAAAAAATAAATCAATCTGCAGTATTTTTTGCCGAGAGTGTTATATTTTTAAGCCACCCCTTAGACCGCCGATAAGAGATAAGCATAAAACGGTTTCAAAAAATTACAATTTCGGAGACGTCGAGAACATGTTGCGTATGTGAAAAAAAACTCACAGAAGCAGATCAGGATCTCTTTGTTGTAAGTATCTGGATAATACTCTCTAACGAAAGAATAAACAGGTAACTGTCAAAACGCTTCTTGTAGGCTTTCCAGGCCCGAATAACTCATAGTACGTCTTCATCATGATCAGGCATTTCTCTGCACACTAGGGAAAGCCTGTACTATTTGTACAGGCAGTGGCATTGGTCCTTTTGTTTAGAGCAAGTTGCAGTTATATAGCCGTATGCACGATATCACAGAGAAAACAGCAAAATGAGGTCATTACCGATAACATTGTGCGGTGAGCAAGAGCTATTGTCTTCTCCTCCGCTCCTAGGGAAGTTAGTCATTGTTGTTCCTCGCGTTTATGGAAGAGTCACGGAGTTTTGTACCTGCAACACGAAACTATAGTGACTGCAGGAGCACGATAGAGATTACTGTAGATCAAGTAATTGCTTCATTTTTGAACACGTTTGTCCAGATAACCGTAGCTAGGACGTGCTATGTCTCTATGAACATGATTGGAGTCTCTTAAAATTTCAAAGGAAGCAAGTTTGTACTCTTGCGGATCGCTATTGGAAATATTGACACCAAAATACGTGACTTCCATCTTCGCGGATGACACCTCAAGCTCGAAGTAGCCGCGGTAGTAGCCCTCATTCCATATAAGCCCTGAGTTTCCTTCCAATAGTTTCTTGGACGTATCATAACATTGTTCCAGAGTGGAGTTGCGAGGGAAGGTCGAGGGCGAGCTGCATGCAGATGTGGCCAGCTCTACTGCCAGACTGCCTTTCCCCGTCGTCATGTCATACTCAGACTTATTCAAAAAAAGTTCATTGATCCATGCAATGTGGAAATCACCTGCCAGAATGACCGTATTGTTGACATGATTTTGGGATATAGCTTCCAGCAATCTTCTCCTATTGGCCGTATACCCATCAAAAGTATCGTAATTCTTGACCGCAAATGGTGGCCCAATAATATCGCCAATCGGAGTGAAATCTACTTCTGCAATAACAGTTTGACTTCCTATAAGTTTCCAAACCTTATCAGAATTCTTAAGTGACTCGTAAAGCCAATCCTCTTGGTCAAATCCCATCATGGTACGCTCTTCAACATCAGCAAGACCCGCAATCAGTTGTGTGTTCCTGTAAACGTCCGTTATGTCCCGAGAGTAGTGTCTTGTGTCCAACATCATCAAATCGATCAAATTGCCAAACTCCAGCTTTCGCCAAATTTTGTACGGATTAGACGCATTCGGACGAATAGGCATCCACTCCATATATGCCCTGATGGCATTTTCGCGTCTTTTGTAAAATTGGAACCCATCAGAGTTCACAGACCCACGTAGCCAGCTATTGTCAGCGACTTCGTGATCATCCCAAACTACTATCCAGGGAAATTTCGCATGTGAGGCCTGCAAGTCAGAGTCACCTTTGTACTGACTGTGCCTTACTCTGTAATCATCTAATGTCCAGCATTCATGAAGAGGATGGTGTTCTCTATCAAGACCTGTCCCGTTAGTATATTTGCCGTTACCGTACTCGTAGATGTAATCTCCAAGATGAATCACATAGTCAACCGAGTTCTTGAGCGCGGGCATTCTATAGCTGGTGAAAAATCCATTAGCAAAATTTGAACACGAGTACACAGCAAAGTTAACCGTGTCTAGGGACTCGGATGCTGGTAATGTCTTAGTGGTAGCTACCATTGTAGAGCTACCAGAAGGCCCATAAAAGCGATAGAAATAAGACTTCCCTGGCTGAAGGCCTTCAACGTCCACTTTCACTGTATAGTCTATCTCAGGACCAGTAGTAATACAGTATTCGGTGCTATTTTCGAAAAGTACGTTATCTGCAATTTGCAGAAAAACCGTCGTTTCCTCTCTTACCCCATCCTCAGGTGTCAAACGAGTCCACAAAATAATGGACGTGTTTGTGGGATCTCCAGACGCTAGGCCGTGATTGAATTCATATCTGATGTTGCGGGCGTTTTCAGGTCTATGACTGGAATATTCAAGATTAAGATTCAATAGTTCGGTTGGCAGTGCAAAAACATATGAACAATACCAAAGGAATGCTAGGAAAGCTAAAGAACTCATGGATGTGATTTGGAAATTCCTCAGTTTATCTAGAAATCCTTGACAAGGACAAGTTGGGGGAAAGGTACGACACGTGGTAGATCGAATAGGTTTTGAATTTATCGACGCCCTACTTGGAAACGCCTTTTTTGAACACGTGATAATCCCGCAGACAAGTCGGTGATTTCTTGGTATCTTTCGCCGCTTCTTTGGCCGCCATACAATGTAGTCCGTGCCCCATATGGTAACTATGCATAAAAAGAAGGTGTTATTCTCACGGAAATAAAAAAACTACAACACGTGCAACTCATCTCTATGCAATAAGAAGAATGTATTTTTTTCAGGGAAATAAAAACTAGTACACGTGCAACTCATGGTCTTCCGACCCAAAAGGTATTCAGTCAGCTAACATCAGCTATATAAAGACTCTTTGAGAACATGGTGTAGCCAGTGGATATGTTTTCTAAACTTGGTAAAAGTTCCACCGAAGAAGTGGGCTACGAGATTACGAATGAGATCGAGCCTGAATTTGAAAAAAAGCAGTCGACACTACGTAACTTTGGCGCAGTGTTCACTGGCGGATGTGCTTTTGTTTCTGATGGTTATCAGCAAGGTTGTATTACAATGATCAATGCGCTTCTCGCTAGTCATTATAAAGCCTATGATGGAGCCTGGAAAACAAGAGTTTCCAATGCGGCTTTAGTTTCAAATATTATTGGGCAAGTTCTAGTTGGAGTTTTTGTCGATCGCATAGGAAGAAAGCCTGCATTCTCTTTGAGTACGGCATTCATCATCCTTGGTTCTATTCTATGTGCTTGTGCTTCAGGGACCTCTGTTCAAGGTTTACTATGGATGCTTACCATCAGTAGGGGTATCGCTGGTGCTGGTGTTGGAGCCGAATATCCCACTTCGGCCTCCTCAGCAATTGAAGCTGCGAGCGAGAGATTAGGAAAGAAAAAGAGGCTGGTTCCATTTATTCTTTCTACTAATGTCCCTATTGGTTTTGGACTTCCTTTTGCTACCATTGTTTTCCTCATTTTTTTTTCAATCTGGGGGGAAGATCATCCAAATGGTATCTGGAGAAGTTGTTTTGCATTTGGAGCCATCCTTCCATTGGCAATCTATTATTTCCGAATGAAGATGGATCATGCCGAGGTGTACAAGAAAAATGCAATCCAAAGCAAGGTCCCTTACATTTTAATGGTCAAAAAGCTTTGGAAAGAAATCATAGGGGTTAGCTTGATGTGGTTTATGATGGATTTTTGTATCTATCCTAATAACATCTTTAGCGCATCAGTGTTACAAGTTGCAGTTCCACATGCAAGTATAAAAGAAACTGCCGAATGGCAATTATTTCTCGGAAGCTTTGCATTCTTTGGTGCGATTATTGGAATTCTACTCTTTCGGTACCTCGAAAGGAAGCAAATGATAATCATTGGCTTCGTCTTATACGGAATAATCTCCATAGTTGTTGGTGCAGCCTACGATCATCTTGTGAAGATACCCGCACTATTTGTGATTCTATATGCGTTGTTGAACATCGTCATGTATGCAGGACCAGCAGATTTCCAATCCGTTGTGGCATCAGAATGTTATCCCACCGCAGTGAGAGGGACTCTTTACGGGTTTGCTGCAGCCGTCGGTAAAGCTGGCGCTGCTGTTGGAGTTGAAGCTTTCACTCCAATTCAGACAAATCTAGGGAAGAAATACACTTTCTACGTCTCTGGTGCTGCTTCAATTTTGGGGGCCATACTTGTTTTATTTCTTGTCCCTGATACCTCTAAAGTCGATTTCGAAGAGCTCGATCAAGAGTTCAACAGCTACTTACTAGCAAACGGATGGGAAGGAAACATCGGAGAGAAGGAAGATAAAAGACATATAAAAGCGATTGATATTAATCAGGGATAAATTCGTCTGTGGATGATCTACCATATTTTTAAAAGTAAAGTCGAATTTGTGTGACTCGTATATATAAAGTAATCTTAAAAAGAATTACAAATTGATTTTGATCTCATCATCTCTTCATTTTCACTCAAACTTTATGATGAGCAAGAACAAGAACGGCAAACTCCGATTTGTTGGATTCTTATTGGACACTTAAGGCTACCGCGTTCGGAATTATTGTCAGAAGGATATTGCTAACCCCTTCAAATCGACAGGTTTGGGTGATCACGAACTTTTTGTCATAGCAGAGCATCAACAACTATTTGACAATCGTCTTGAACTCAGTAGATTAATATTGGAGATACTTGCTAAACTGCGTCTGCAACACTTTAAATTAATCTGGTACTCTTGGTCTTCGTTTAACTTTGGGAGCATTTTTATACATGCGCACAATAATGTCCAGGGAGGTGCTGATGCACGGCCGCAAAACCGCAGACAAGAAGACACTCGTGCTGATAGCACTGACTTCAGGGTTTATAGGCAGTTTCTCGAGCTTTTCCACCCTGGTAGCCGAGATCCTCGCCCAGACTTTGGATATTCTGAACCAAGGGGCCCAGCTGCCCAATCACGCATACGGCGTGATGGAGTTTTTCTCTGTGGTTCTCACCCAGACGGACGTGTCCATGGTTGGATACCACCTGGGATCGGCCCTGGCTGCGACCCTCACGACACCGGGCTTGGGATATCGGCAGAAAAGGGCTGGTCCTGCCAGATTTGTGCGCAGCCTCGAGTGCTTCAGCCGCTTTCATCTGGCCAAGCTCAACGCGCGGTCCTGGTTCCCCGTGGGAACGTTCACCACGAACCTGAGCGCGTGCATTCTTCTGGCCGTGATCAACGTCCTCACGCACGGTGCCACGCGTGTGGGGCCCCCCGTCGTCAACAGCCAGCTCCCGCTGGACGTGTTGCAGGGCCTGGGCAGCGGCTTTTGCGGCTCATACAGCACGCTCGGCACGTCCATCAACGAGATCGTGGCTCTGAAAAGCGAGGCGCGTCGCGCTGCGTACTACTACGCCAGCCTCGTAAGCACGTTTCTTGCTATGCTGCTCATCATGGGATGCTACAGCTGGACAAACGGACTCGGTGCGCATTGAGTCTGTCCTATAATAATATATTATAACAGTACGAACCAGACAGCTACAGTTTGGAGTCGCGCAGGAACGACTCCACAAGCATCACCGTCTTCATGGCCATTCCGTGCGAGTTCTGGTAGCCAGCGCCCGCTGCACCGTAGTTGTGCACCACCTTGCCCACGCCGGCAATATACTCCTTCTCAATCCGGGCTCCGCCCTTGCGGCCCGGTCTGAGCCCGCACTGGACCTTCATCACGTCCAGCTCCCCTTCCTCAAACAGCTCCGGGCAGTACTGCTTGGCTCTGGCTACTGTACGCTCAAACAGACCCTCGTCAACATCCGGAGTCCAGTCGTTCACCCGGAAACAGCCTCCGATGATCGTGCCACCCTCCTTCCGCGGGAAAATGTACAGAGACTCGCCTTTGGGCTCAAAGCCTTTCACGGATATCATTGTTGGACAGCTGTTCCGCGACAGGATGACCTGTCCCTTGATTGGAAACACCTTGTCGTCGACCACCCCGCCCAGTCGACAGGCCAGCAGTCCGGTGCAGTTCACGGTCATGTCTGGCGTCCCGTCCGAGAAATACTTGGCTGCATCCTTGATATGCTTGAGGTTGCCACGGTGGATCTTGACCCCAAGACCCAGCAACTTCTGGAGCAGATAGTGCAGGTAGATCGACACAGAAATCGCCACTGTGGTGAATTCGTACCCGTGTGTGGCGTCGTGGCGCAGCTCGTCAGCTGGCAGCTCTCTGTATCCCTGCACAAAATCCTTGAACCACGGCTCCAGGCCGGAGTTGAGAACCTGATAAGTGCGCTTTATCACACTGGATCCCGGAGCGTTCTCTGCCAGATCCATAAATTTGAAGTAGCCAATGCGGTCCCACTCCTGCATTTCAATGTCGTTCTTGCCTGCAAAGCTGGCCCAGTTAGCCCCGGCAAAAGGACTGGTATATTCGATGTCCACATCTCCAGGCAGGTGTCTGGCGACGATCTCCACGCTGTGGCCACGCTGCGCCAGTTCCAGCGCGGTAGTCATGCCAACCACACCACAGCTACCGATTAGCAGGCATAGTGCTTATACGTACCCAATAACAACAATTTTGCCCATATCAGTTGAGGATTAAGTTAATTAGTTTTTTGAGCTACTCTGACCGAAAATGGAGACATATGCAACCCACAGAACCCCCGGTCACGTGCAGGAATAACATTGGAGTGCGCCGGGGCCACGTCTGAGTGTCTGGAGAGAGTCCGCTCGTCGCTGCGCCGCGCCTGTAGGTTGCCCGAAGCAGATAAGATATATATCGGAATGCAGCCGCATAGCGGCACCTGTCAATGGATCTTGGCAACCTCCCTAGAGCTACCGGCCAGCTGGGCTTGGACCCAGCCTACCGCCCAATTGCAGTTCTGCTGATCAACCCCAATGCCACTGAAACCATGACGCTCAACTGCCTGGAGTCGCTGCTTGGCTGCGTGCCACCGGACACCGTGGTGTACGGGTATACCGCGCCAGCTCCGGCCCCGCTGACAATCGAGTGCGCCGTGGACGGAATCATGTCTGCCAGCGCAATCATCCGGGATCTCAGAGCCAAGGAGGCTGGAAACTACTTTGATGCGTTCCTGGTGGCCTGTTTTTCGCACCATCCGCTCACCGATGCGCTGCGCGAGGAGTTCGATAAGCCCGCTGCCGGCATCATGGAGTCAGCCATCTACACAGCCAGGATACTGGGCTACACATTCGGCATTGTGTCTACCGATGCCAGAGCCGAGCCGAGACACAGACAGAGCGTGGAGGCTTATGGCATGACAAGGTTCTACGTGGGGGCAGCCTCGTCTGGCTACACGGTGGCAGAGCTCAAGACAGCGCCTTTCGAAGACGTGGTGGCAGCCATGGGTGAGGCATCAATGTCTCTGGTGAAGCAACGCGGGGCCGACTGTTTACTCCTCGGTTGTGCAGGCATGACTCAGATGAAGGCCAAAATGGAGGAGCTGGTTGGCCCCACAGTCCAGGTTCTTGACGGCGCATTATGTGGCGTGAATATTCTGTCAGGACTAGTCCGGATGGGCTGTAAGACGAGCAAAAACAGTCTCTTCAGGTCGTCTATGGATGCCCGGCTCCAGCGAAACCAAACATACTTGTGATATATTATTCTGTGATATATTATTCTGTGATATATTATTCTAGATAATCTTTGATCTTGTTGGAGACAAAAGCCGGCAAGCTGCTAGTTTGGCGCTTAAGATACTCTCCCGGTGCAGCAGAGACGTCGAGCCCCGATCTGTCGCGGTCCCACACAACTTGGCCGCGGAGGATGGTGTATCGGGGCCAGTTGGTGAACATTAGGCCCTCAAAAGGCGTGTAGTCAATAGCATGGTGCAACATCGAGTTGGTGAGTCTGAACGGACGCATCTTGTCCTTTGGATACCATATAACGATATCCGCATCTGCACCAGGGACAATGGCTCCCTTCAAGTTTGACAGCCCGTACAGCTTTGCAGGGTTGGTAGCCGTGATTTCGACGAACTTCTCTACCGAAATACGCCCGGTTTCCACCCCCAGAGCATAGAGCAGGGGGATCCGCGTCTCTATTCCTGGGAGCCCGTTCGGAACGTTCTTGAAGTTGCCTTTGCCGTTGACTAGGCCCTTTTTCTTGCCTTCTGGGTGGTCGTAAATTGAAGGAGCGTGGTCGGAAGAAAACGTGGTGACAGTTCCGTTGCTGATGTATTTCCAGACAGCCTGAAGATCGGACGCACTCTCGCGTAGTGGGGGAGAACAAATATACTTGGATGGCTCAAACTTGTCCTGGGCGACCGCAAAAGACTCTGTCTTGTGCTCGTGGCAGAAGCAGAAGTGGCCCTTGAGGTTCTCACTGGTGAGAAAAAGATACTGCGGACAGGTTTCTGCATAGATGGGGATGTTTCTGGCCCGAGCCCTCCTCACATGGTCCAAGGCATTGGGAGCAGACATGTGCACAAGAAGTATTGCAGAATCGACGAGGCCTGCAATAGTGATGGCGCGGTATGTAGCCTCGTCCTCTGCCTCCATTGGCCGAGAAACCGCATGGAAAAAGGGATCCACCCAGTCCTTATCCTCAAGACGCTCAATAATATAGTCAATAATGTCGGAGTTTTCTGCATGAACCATGGTTGTAACGCCCAAAAGCCTGTTCTTGATAAGCACCTTCATGAGCTGCCCGTCGTCCACCTTCAATGCCGGATATGTCATGTAGACCTTTACGGACGTGATGCCCTTTTCTGCCACCAATTGCGGCAGTTCGCAGTTGAGGAACAGGTCTGTCGCCTTGGTGACAATAAGATGGAACCCGTAGTCGCACCAACAGCTTCCACGTGCCCTCTTCTGGTAGCTCTCGACTGCCTCCAGTGCTCCAACCCCGGAAGATGGCTGCACCGCAAAACAGAGTACAGTGGTGGTGCCACCAGCGATCGCAGACTTGGTAGCAGACTCGAACGTATCTCCAGCATTGCTGCCATCTTGGTCAATATGTGTATGCGAGTCAATGCCTCCCGGAGTGATCATACCGCCATCTGCATCGATAACCTGTTTGCCCTGTAAGACCTCGGTGGAAATGGTGGCTACCTTGCCGCCTTTCACCCCAATCCAGAACGGCGGTGGGAGAACACCGGAGGCTGAGGCAAGATACCCATTGAAGATGACCAGATCGTAGCTCATTAGAGTGTTGCAGCCAGTCACCTCTCGCACTTATCTTTATAGTGAGCCTCCAGATCCGGTGCCAGGAGTGGCAGATAAGATTTTCCTCGGGCACCCTGCATCGGGCATCGCGATAAGGCAATCGCGAGCTATCTGCAGCCGGCCGATAGAAGACCTAGTTAATAGCTAGCGTTTCTGGCTTGGCATTTTTATAAATAGCCAAAAACAAGGTTTTTGATTGACAGCATGACTACCGGTATTTTGAGACTCGCCAACGGCATCGAAGTCAGGGAGAACAACGACTTCTCTGTAGACGACTTTGACCACATTCCCATTTTGGACATCAGTCGCATGTGGTCGGATGACTTTGAAGAGAGAAAGAGCTTGAGCACAGAGCTCCGAGAAGTGTGCTCCAAGGTCGGATTTTTCTACGCGAAGAACCATGGTGTTCCCAAGGAGATCGCCAGCGGCCCTTTTCGTCAGGCCAGAAACTTCTTCAGCCAGCCAATGGAAAAGAAAATGGAGGTGTATACAGGGTTGCTACCGGAAAATTGTTACTATGGATACCACCCACTGGCCGAGTACAATATGAACGGCAAAAAGTACAACGATTTGTACGAGGCCTTCAACTTCGGGTACGAATTCGAGGAGGACCCTGAAAAGCCAACAGAGAAGCCCGACCACTACGAGAACTCGAATATGTGGCCAACGGGTAAGGGTCTGGAGAATTTTAAAAAAGAGATCTTTGACTACCATCGACACCTGCTCACCCTATCGCGGCGGCTGATACGCATCATGGCGCTGGCCTTGGACTTGCCCGAGGATTATTTTGACGAGGCGGTCAAGTTCCCGGCAGCAGGCATGCGACTCGTGCACTATCCTCCACAGAAGGTGGATGCCGATGAGCAGGTTGGTATTGGAGCCCACACAGATTTTGAGTGCTTTACCTTGGTCAACCAGGACATGGTGGGAGGCCTCGAGGTACTGAATAAGAGCGGAAACTGGGTCAAGGCTCCCTACATTGAGGACACATTTGTGGTCAACGTGGCCGACTGTCTGATGAGACTGACCAACGACACGTTTGTATCCACCGTCCACCGAGTGGTTAACAATACTTCGGGAACGGACAGATATAGTTGTCCGTTCTTCTTTGGAGTGGACAAGAGATATGTGTTGAATCCGCTTCCCACCTGTGTCAGCAGCGAAAAACCAGCCAAGTATCCGGTTACAACCTGCGGCGAGTATCTCGCGTGGAGAGCAAGTCTTTCCAAGGCCAGAAGACAGAAAGCCAAGGAGCTTGCAGAGGAGAAGCTTAAGTGACCACGTATCTGATATAGTGAAGTAATTTATTGCAACTATAAATCTAAGTCAGAAGACAGAAAGCTAAGGAGCTTGCAGAGTGGAAGCTTAAGTGACCAAGTATCTGATATAGTGAAGTAATTTATTGCAACTATAAATCAAAGTAAAGCTGGAGGAGGAATCACTTCCTTTTGGGTGCTGATCAGTGTATACTGATCGGGCCGTCTGTGTCTCGAAAAATCGAAAATGCGCTTGCGTGTGCCAATACACAGATCCAGATCGATGTCGGCCCACGTCAGCTCGTCTCCCTTGGTGGTGCTTCGTGCAATAATCTCGCCGTATGGGTTGACGATAACCGAGCCGCCGATCATGTCCCATTTACCGTCGTCTAGGCCACAGCGAGCCGTGCAGATAGAAAACGTACAGTTGGCGTACGAGTTGTACTGGCAGCATAGCTCGTTATGAAACATGGCCATCTCCTCCGATTTTGAAGCATCAACCAGCACTCCGTCGATGCCGTTGGATGAGGTGGACGGAGTATTGTAGCCAATAAGTACAAGCTCTGCACCCTGCAGGCCGAGAACACGCCACGACTCGGCCCATCTGCGGTCATTGCAGATAAGCTGTCCCAGAATAGGTCCTTCCTTCACTTTGGTGCCAGGCCACCTGAACGCCTTGAACCCAAGGTCTCCGTCCTTAAAATATCGCTTTTCCAGGTGCTGGACTGGTACATTTTCCCGTGGCTCCTTGTCACCAGGAAGATGCATCTTGCGGTACTTGTTGATCAGGTTTCCGTCTCCATCCACAAAAATCGCAGTGTTGAAGTGCTCCCCATCCTCGGTCAGTTCAGCATAGCCAACACAGACACTGATGCCATAGCCTTTGGCTCGCTCAAAAAATGGCGAGTACTCTGGGTTTGTTAGAATGTCGCCTTTGCAGAACCATCTATCCAGCTCGGGGCCGAAAGGAATGAGGTGTCTGGCAAAAAACGTGCTGAAGCAGAGCTCTGGATAGTTAACCAATGTACAGCCATTTTTGTGGGCCTCATCCAAAAGTATGTTCATCCGCGCCAAGACGTCTGCCAGCGGGGTATCAATATCAATTGCTCCCAGCTGGGCGCTTGCAACCCTCAGTGTACGTGACATACAGATAAATCTCGTTGCCACGGCAGATAGTGTCTGTTTTAACCAGGGGTAGTGCACAACCCAGTCGAAATCTCTTATCAGGCTGCCGGGCAACCTTGTAGACGCATGATGCCCGCCGCATACAGAGAGTCGAGGATCCCAAGAGCAAGGTCTAGATCACAGAACTGGGATAGTCGACTGCGGAAGAGCCACCTCAGACGGCTGCATGCCGACTTGATGCGGCTTCCCTGTGTGTCGTCCGTTGCCGAAACCAACAGTAGAAGGAAAAAATTGGAGATGGTAGCAAAGCAGTACCGCGACCACGAGTACCAAAAAGACTCAAAGTGGACCGGTCGGAGCTTGCTGAGAAACTCCACTAGCTCCTCGGCATAAGTAACCGCCTTTTCAAGTACAAGAGTTTCTGCGGCCACCTCTTCATTCGTGAGCGTGTCTTTTAGGACAGAGAATTTGCGAATCACCTCTGATTTCTCGCAACTGTAGCAATCGCGGAACCGGTGTAGCACGGTACGCCAGATAATACACTTTGCTGTATAGAAGGCAAGGTTTAGTGATCCATTGGCACTGATTTGCCACGTCTCCTCGTAGTTTTCTAACTTTAGGAAGTCGGGACAGTTTTTGTGGAGGCTGTCTATTTGATCAAGAAATATCGTAGCCTTGTTGAGCACTTGTATTGGTGGTCCACGTAGAGAACGCAAATGAAGAAGCTCATCCTGAATGGAGTCAATAATAAGCGTGAGCTCCACGAGCGTGCAGAAGCTCCTGACGCTGTAGAGATAGGTGTTCTTGCCAACGACGGGGTCTGGATAGTGGACAAAATCATTACTGGTAATCATGGACACATCCCAATCCTTTTTATTGATATGACTTGGGGTTCCCAGGAGCACACTAAACCACTTCTCCTGTACAAAGAGTGTCCACCAAAGTCTGCGACGTATACGCTTTTCCCACGCGGGCATGTCCCAGTCCTGACAATCAACATTCAGCCCTTTGCTTTGAGCCAGTGCGACCCCAATGCTAAGGATTGAGCATACAAAGGAGCAGTCGCCATTCACTGGGCGTTTTTGGGAGAGCAGTAAGCACGCTTGCAATGTACCGTATCTGGGCTGGCTCATCTCACGTGTAATTGACGAGCGAGTAAACTCCAGCAACGACTCAACGTCGGGCTTGTCTTTCATACATAGCTCCGGGTCAAATGTCCACCAGTCGAGCGCCAAGCTGAACATGGACGATAGGAGACTGAACTCAAAGCCATTGGTATCTTGGTGAACAGAATAGTAGAAACGCCCCCTGGAGAACACCGGGAAGAACGGGTTCACGTGTCTGAAAAACAGCATCATGAGCTTGGGTCCGTCTCGCCCAATGATTTTGTATATCTCCCGGTTCTGCTCTCTAAGCTTGGGAGCTGCAGGCTGGAAGTTGACCACTGTCGGAGGCCGGCTGTTGCACATCTTGCGCAAAATAAACTCTCCGCATCTCAGCTCGCCCGTTGGGTCCACCGGGAGCTGCGACACAACGTACGAGTCCAGATATGACGACTCAAACAAAAGATTAAAGGTGTGGTCCTGTCTTGCATCCAACGAAGTATTGTCATCTGTGTTGTTATCTGGAGGTTCCAGGTAGTCGTCTTTAGTTTCTTGTCTTTCCAACAAAGAGTCGTCGGTCATCGGCTCTGAGAAGAAATCGCAGATCTGCTCCCACATGTTTTCGTCGAACGGAAACCTATCCAGTTCAGAGTTGAAGGACAACAGCTTAGAGACGGGTATGTCTTTAAAACTAGAAAGACGTTGTGAAGACATCTCTGACGGATCCTGTGGAACTTGAACAAGCGAGTGGTCCATGGGATCGCGAGTCTTCGGGCTTGTATAGTTCTCAGCTGTCTGTTGCCTTGTAGGAAAGTGATCATTGGAAAGTGAATGAGAAGTGCCTGTGGGGGGTGAAAGTTGGTCGACAACCACAGTGATTGACTCCACTTCCATGTTCTTGTGATGCCGGTTTAAGGCCCGTGTTTTGAACTCGCACGGCAAGCTCAGCTTTACACATTGCTTACAAGGAGGACTTCCCACTATTTCACACCTGCTCTTACGTCGACGACAAACATCACAGGGGCGCTGTTTCTTTGACTTGTAAGGCCGTACGCTTACCGTTCCCTCCATAAGAATAATGCAGTGGAAATGATTTAAGATAAGTACGGTGTGAGGCGTTGAAGAACATAGCTCAAATCTTAGACACTATTTATTTCTCTTGGAGGATTGTAGCGAACTCGGCCGGCACGACAACATCCTCTTCCTTAAAGTAGTCGGTATCGGCAATGTGGTATCTGATAACCACAAATTCCAGGGCCATGCCGACGACGTACAAAATCCACCAGCAGCACATGATATTTAGGTACGGGACAGAGGCCGCGTCAATGCCGAACCCAACGGTCACACCCAAGGCCTGGAACATGGGGATGATGCCAGCGTATGGTGCCTGCTTCTGGGGATCGTTTGAAAATGAGCCGGTGATCCACACACGCATGCTCATGACCAGAGAATACGAGAAACCCGCAATGAAGTACCAAACAAAAAGCCCTCCAAATTTCTTCTCCTTCCAGTCAATGTAAAGGGGAACAGCCCGGTCAAACTTTTCAAGACCCCAAGTGCCCATCATGGCTGCAACTCCAATGAACGCTCCGTTCACAAACAAAAAAGTCACAAACAGACCTAAATATCCCCTGCCTCGTCTTCCCATCCCCTTTCGATCGGTCAACCAGCCAAACACCCAGGCCCGGGAATCTGTGCAAACCAGAAAAACATATTGTTAAGTGTGCGTGCACGTGTAGTGAACATGTGTGAGTTCAACGACGAGAAGAAAGGAAAGAGGCACTCGGCCACAAACAGCGGTGTTATCATCAGCAGGATACGCACCTCTTTGAATGCGTTCAACATGTTCAGCACTGCCTGCTTAACGGTTGGAGGTTTAAACACAGCTATCTTGGATCCATCGTTTCTACGCACGTCGTCTGGGTCTGCGGTGAAATAGGCGAATACGACTGCTGTCACGTTCACAATCACAAAGATTAGGTACAGCTCCCAGACCACGCCCCTGTTACCCTCCACAACGTTTCTGTTTAAGCACACGGCAATCATTGAGCCTATGACACCACCACAAACAAAAACAATATGATTGAGAGCCACGTACGTGCCCTTTTCGTTTTCTTTTGCATAGCAAGCGATTAAGAAGTTCTGTGTGGCCCACAAAAATCCGGAAACGCAACCAGAAAGAGTACCAGCTGTGATAGGAAACCACTTTTGACCTTTGACATCAAAATACCAGTATCCTGCCACATACAGCGAAAACCCAGCTGCACCTAGCATTAGCGTGAACCTTGGACGAATTTTATTCATCAAGATCCCTGCTGCAAACGAAGAGAAAATCCATGTTGCGTCTCCAAGCGACACCCCAATTGATGAGACAGCCTGCGATTCAGGTTTTCCTCCACCTGCTCCAATACCAGTGAGCGCCACATATAGCCCGGACGTCATGGCCGTGATTAGGCCTCCCCAAGCAACCTGTAGGAAGGGATTGTTCCATCTGTAGGGACTAAGCTGCTCCTCGGTTTGCACACAGTTAGTGACAGCAGCAGGATCTGTTTCTGACTCCCTGCTTTCATAAACGATGGCAACGTTATCTTTTTCCTTTTGTGACATCGTTAGGCAACCAGTAAAAATGCCAAAAGCTATATATACACCGTAGCTCACAAATTGTCGACAAAGGCTAATCGCTGCCTGGCAAGATAAGATTTTCTGACTAGCACTGTCAATTCGGGCGTTTCATTAGTTCTCATGCATAGATGCCCGAAGACCAAGAAACAGCCCGACTTGGAGAAAAAAACACCTGACACCCTGATAGTGCCTGAAGTTTGGGTTGCAGGCAGAAGCCTACTGATAAGATCCCATGGCATGATGTGGCCATAGGCCGCAATCGCTTTTTAAAATTCACAGATGATATTTTCTAACATATATTTCCTACCGTGCCAAGACATGTCAGATTATCTAAAGTTATCAAATAATTCTAACTATTTCCCGCAATTCTGAACTTTCGGTGAGCTACTGATGTACCAATCAAATGGAACAATACAAGAATTATATGGACCAGTTTTTTATCTTCTATTAGAGAGACTGTTACACCTGTTTGAGGTTTTATGAAAGATGATTGTGAGACCCATACTGGATGCTCTGTTTGGAAACTGGAGCTAGGGAACCTGAATACTTTGTAATTGTGCAGTTAGGTCGGGCCAAGAGTATATTGCATAAAGTCGTGCCAAGTCTACATTATCAAAGATGGACCAGACGAAGATGCAGGCTAGCTGTGGAAATTCGTGAACACTGCTCCAGCCGAATTCAGGCGATCTCGTTATCAGCCGAACTTCGAAATTAGGAAAGGTGCGCTCGGGCCAGGCTTTATCTGATATTTAGTAACCGAATTCGATTATCGAAAAATTCAAGAAATTCGAATATGCTTGAAAGAACGTTCTTGTCACTATTCTGCTAGCGTACTGCACGTTTGGTGCGCACATTGACATTCAGCACAGCTCCTGGTCCCTCACGAGGTCACTGTTCCCGATGCCTTGGTGAAAAAGTACGAGGACTCTAAAATTAAGTTTCTCGAGAACTACTACAAGGCTGCCAGAAAACCAATGCTCTGGTCTTCAGTTCCGATATCACTCTTCCAGCTGGCCAGTCCCACATTGCTTCACAGAAGATAGAGTACAGAGACCCGGACGACACTTCGGACCTGGATCCTCCACAACCAGATAGATACAACGGAATCTCGAAATCTGGATTCCTTACATTTGGCCACTTTCCGGCAGAGGCACACTGCTTTGATCCGGACATGATGAGTGAGCTGGAGGTCGATATTGCTATCTTAGGTGCTCCCTTTGACACCGGAATCTCGTATAAGCCGGGATCCCGTTTCGGCCCAGACGCGATCAGACAAGGTACTAGAAAGTACTCTGCAGTGTTCTCTCCCTACAAAGAAGGATTTAACCCATGGAACAGTTGGGCCAAAATTGTTGACTGCGGTAATGTTACAATGACCCCTGTGGATAACAGAGTTGCTTTAGACCAGCTTACCGGTCGGAAAGGTCACTCATAAACCACACTACCACAAAGACCAACCAAGGGAAGTATCCTCGGTTTTTGGCCTTGGGCGGTGACCACACCGTTACTTACTCAGGTATCCGTGCTGCATTTGAGAAATACGGAAAAGTCAGTGTTCTACATTTTGATGCCCACCTGGATACTGTGGATCCATACTATATGAACCCAAATGTGACAGACTATGCTGCTTTGAACCATGGAACTTATCTTTATTGGGCTCACAGAAAAGGGTGGACTGCAGAAAACAACAGCCATGCAGGACTTCGTGGATGGTACGAAGACAGAGGAGACCCTACGAGAGACTACACGGAGTCCAAGTTCAGCAAGATCATGGCAAGAGATATTGACAAGATTGACGGAATCATTGAAAAGATCAAGAAACAGCTCGGTGACTGTCCAGTCTACATTAGTTTTGACATTGACGTTGTGGACTCAGCTTCTGCACCAGCCACTGGATCTATTATAGCTGGAGGATGGTCTTCCAGAGAAATATTGTCGATAATTGACGGCCTCGCTGGAATCAACCTCGTTGGAGCTGACATCGCACAGGTTTCTCCATGGGGTGATCTTACTAACGGCGTTGCATCTGACAATGCGGGAGAGGCTGGTCGCGCAATCCTGGGACTTATGGTTATCAAGCCTGTGATCTGTGGTCTGATAGCAAACTAGGGGGGTTCTCTAGATACTTTAAAAACTAGACAGCAAAATTTAGAACAGATTTCACTTTTTATAATCTAACTTTTTTAAAGTTTAGTTCAGAGTTTCGGAGATATGTAGGAAAATGAAAAACAGCGGTCAATGAATTTAAGGCAATCGCCTGACCATATCCAGCGCAAAACAGATTCCACCAAGCCAGAGCATATACCACTGTAGATATAAGCTTTATTTGTTGGCATTTGGTGCTTGCTCCTCTTGAGGTACTGCAGGAGGCCGAGGACTTAGAGAAACAGATTGAAAAATGTCTCCCTCCAAAGTTCACCAACGAGATCTTGGAGTCTCGAACTCTGGATCATCATCTACAGTTTTTTGAGCTACTAAGAGATGCCGCTAGACTGTATTTGCGGCAGTGCGTTCACATGGAGTTCTCGCACTCGCTTAACTCAACTATTATTGTGGTCAGGTCTTTGAAGAACATAAGTTCGCTGTTTGGTACCACTGTTGACCGAGGGCTTCTGTTTTCTCTACTCATATTTGGCGTGGATATGATAGGCCAGGACTCGCGAGATTGGGTTTGAATTTGATGGTCAGCTTCTACAAACGGCGTCTTGCAAGAACCATAGAAGCGGCTATAGCATTGATGAAGAAGATCTGGTCAGCGAATTCAGATTAAAAAACTTACTTCTTCTGGCCAAAGATCTCCAGACGAGAAGGTCTATTTATCAATCTTGCATGAACTCAAATTGCATGCTGTTTGGTAAGACCTTGCGCCCTATATAAACATGAATTGTGTATCTAGATAATGGTCGTCTATAACGTGAAGATCGGTAATGGTAGACGTGTCTCTCATAGCCTGGAATGGTTTCGAGATGCGCTACCATCTAATCGGCACGGAAGCTCATCTATGGGCTGTCTGGTTACCCATATCTGCGAGATATCATATGCTAGAACGCGCATCTTATTGAGCCCTATGCAACTCAGTGTCCATAAGGGTTCTTGGATCTCAAGCAAACGCCATATCTCATAAACACATACGGGATTGGAATCATTTCCAAGGCAACCAGGCCAATGAGAGTGCACCTCTACTGGACTCCGAGATTAATATATAGTTGACGTGCAAATAATGGAAAGGAACATGCACAAATAGCTCGCGAAAATGTACTAGCAGCGATTGCGGATGCGGAGTAGGTCGTGAAGTTATCGATCAGGTAGTACATACAGTTTTGGAAAATGCAGACAAAACTGCAGCCAAGTAGGGCCATACCGATGCATGGAACAAACCAGTGAATGCTAGGGCGAGAGGTCTATCCAAATATGAGATTCCCCGCAGGCATCATCCATGCTGCATAAAGCAGGCTTCGTAGTCTTTCTTCGGGTAGGGGTACATTGACGTTGAGTGCAAGTAGTTTTGCGTACCTTTTGGAGAAGCCTATGTTCGTCATACTCCAATCATCACTCCAGTGAACAATGCAATGTTAGGTAGTGTGGCTATTGTTCCTTTCCACCCATAGGTGAGCTCAAAGGCCACATCCACAGAGGTAATCGAAAGGTAAAAAATGCCGTAGGTGTGTAACTTGCAAATAAAGCAATAGCAAAGACGACACTTCTCGCCCAACATGGAACTATTTCTCAAAGAGATCGGGGAATACAGGCGAAGACATCATTGTAGAAGCAAACTGAACTGCAAAGGTTGCCGTACCGTAGAGTATCGTATGTATCGTATGAATGAATCTCTTTCTTGAGGACCAGTTCTTAGGCCTGAGGGAACTTTCAGTAGAGAAAGGTATTGTGTTATCCTCGGATAGCTGATAGTGTTCCCAGAAATAGAGTTGCAGACCTTCCACTTCGACATCGCTCTCATTAGGTTTGGTGGCGGGGTGGCGGGGTGGCGGGGTGGCGGGGTGGCGGGGTGGCGGGGTGGCGGGGTGGCGGGGTGGCGGGGTGGCGGGGTGGCGGGGTGGCGGGGTGGCTGGGTGTCATCCTCTCTCGCCGACCTGGCGGGATGCAGTCTTGGTCATACATGTTTCCCCCGTGATAGTGTGATCCGCTCACGGTTCCACACTACTTCACGAGTCGAGAATCTTAAAGCGTCAAGACTGCGCTGCCTAACGGATGCGCTAACTCACAGTCTGTGCGCTGCGCTGCCTGACCGCTTTCCTGACTGGCAACCTGTCGGGCCCGCTGCCTGCCTGCTTCCCACAACGGAAACCCCTCGCGGCCGCCCGGTCCGTCAACCAGTTCACCCGATCGCCTGGTGATCGCCGGGGCCGTGCACCTCTTCCCCTGATTGACACCTTATCAGGCGAATTCACCAAGCGTTCACGCGATCCAATGTCTGCCCTTGCCAAGCTTACCCCCCGTCCCAGCCCATCAACGAATTACCGAGGTAATTTACTAGCCGATCCGCCCCCCGGGAGACCACCGCCGGAGGCCCTAGGCCCCTCCGTCCCCCCGGCGCATCCGCCCCCATCGGCCCCCTGGGAACCAGATCCGCCCCCGGGCGACACCCCCCTGTCGACCACGTGTCCCTTTTGGCCCCA